CTTCATAGGGATTAGATTTCTCTGTCTAATCCCTATGAAGATATACCACAACGGTTTACCCAATACGGATAACTGGAGAACTAACCTTCAAAAAGCTCTCTCCGATGGTCCAATGATTACCTAATTAATCTCTATGCAGTGGTTTACATTCCAATGCTGATATTTTCACTCCTGTAATCGTGATTTAAGTGTGGTTTTTTATTCCGAGAAATTCAAATCACTAATCAAATTATTTAGCTGACGTTGGGAAATTAAATGGTTTCCTTCTAAAGAAACTAGATTGGACACTGATGTATTAATTTTTTTGGCAAATCTTTAACAAGATTTTTCAGATTTTCTCAAAGCGTTGGCAAATGAAATAAAACACTTTATTGAATGCCTGCCGTAAAGAAGCATAACAAAAACATCGTTTTCATCTTCTCGGAAAAATAAATCATAACATCCAACAAACGAGACACTTAAACATATACAATCAGCAATAATCGCTAGTATCTAGTATGATACAGAATTTAGTGTTTTTTGTGTATATATAATACATTAGGTGTGAAAGAGATTGCTCTGATTTTGGTCGTTTCTAAAATCATCCTCTCAACACACTAAAGATAAATTTCCCAACTTTATAAATAATAAAATGTGTTGTTATGATTCGACGTAAACATTGTGATGTAACACAAACAATATAATCACTGTTAATTGATGATTTTACCCTAAATTTTCTCATTTATTTTTTTATTTTAAAAAGGTGAACAAAAAAGACATTGTTTTAAAACAACTTTATCTATTCATAGTTTCCAAGAAGTAGTTAAAACGAATTTTATTATAATCACCCATACAGGAAACGAACTCATTAACCGTATTTTTCGCATTAGTAGATCGAAAAATGGAAGAACAAAAGGTACGTAGTAATAATAGTAACGCGTAATAAAAACGTGTATTTCTTATCGGATCACACGAACCGTAGAGAACAATACGGGTGAAAATAAAACGTTTTCATTGCCGCCCGCCGGGGAAAATAAAAACGTGCACGCGCTCGCGGTTTTAAATTGTATTTTTATAATCAACCGGGTGACTCGAAAACAGAAAAATTAGTATGGATGTACGATAAAAAGTTCATTTTACCTTTGCGATATAAAAGGTAACGACTCGAGTTGATAACAACATTAAAATTATACAACTATAGTAGACCGTTTCCGCCCGCATAAGTGATATATTTTTTTTATTCTTATCGTTTGTTCGTCAAAGCGAGACGTTTAAATGAAAATGAATTATATCGGAAAATATAAATTTACAACACAAACATAAATATATCTTGTATATCCTTGAACGCGTGGTGGTTACAGCATGTATAATTATGTTAATAAAAAAAATTATCGAAAAAATTTATGCATTATTCAGCAGAACGGAAAGTTGGCGATCACGCGAAAATTCGTGTTTTAAGATGTTTCTTTTTTTAAGGGCTTATAAAATTAAGCGAAGTCATAAATGTGTGTTGGGCTAAATTACGCGGTTACATACATACATGTATTATAATGTAGTTATAATCATGATATAATTTTCTTATCAACTTTACCTTTTATCTTTGACGCGCTGTCACGATTACGTTTGTGGGTTGGGTGTAAAACTTTCTTTTTTCCTTTTTTTTTACATTTTTTCTTTCCTTCTTCTGCGAACGCCATTTTCATGTTTTAGATATTTCCAAACGATAAAACATTATTTGTTTTATGATTTTCTATACTCTATTTTTTTAATTTGAACGAGTGTTTCTAAATTGAAGTGCCAAAAAGAAAGATTGCCATTGGTCAGTTTTAAGCAAAACTTACACTAGGAAAATTCGAGATAGTTCTATTTTAGTTCAATAAAGATATACAAAATAGTAATATCTTATGCTATCTAGCGCTACCTACCACTGCCACTAGAACTAACACTAGACCGAGAACTAGAAACATTCGGGTTTAGCCGCACGTCTCTCAAGACGGCTAAACCCGAATGATTCTAGTTCTAGGTCTTGTGTTAGTTCTAGTGATAATGCTAGTATAAAACTAGAACTAACACTAAACCGAGAACTATTCAAACGCGGACCCCAAGGCGTACAGATCAATTAGCCTAACTTCATTTCTCCTCAAAGGGATGGAAAAGGTAATCGATCAATACCTAAGGAATGGAGTGCTTCTCACAAATCCACTCCACCCTAGCCAACATGCTTACCAGAAAGCAAAATCAACAATTACCGCTCTCCATGCTTTGACTAGCACCTTAGAGGAGGCAATTGCAACCAAAGAGATAGCCCTTTGTGCTTTCATAGATATAGAGGGTGCGTTTGATAACACCTCATATGAATCCATAGAGAAGGCTTTAAACGTAAAAGACATACATCCGTCGACAATCAAGTGGTGTATAGCCATGTTGAAAAGTCGGCAGATCACAGCCAGTCTGGGAGGCGAGTCGCTGACTATAAAGGCGCTAAGAGGATGTCCCCAAGGGGGAGTGCTATCACCTCTATTATGGTGCCTGGTAGTTGATGACTTGATGAACATCCTAACTAAAAACGGATTTAAGATACAAGGGTATGCTGATGACCTGGTAATCACAATCCGAGGTAAATATGATTCAATCATAACTCAGCTAATGCAGAAAGCCCTACTACTCACCAGTACTTGGTGCAGAAGCAATGGGCTCAGCATCAATCCCAATAAAATCGAAATAGTCCCTTTCACTCGGAGAAGGAAGCTACAAATAAAAGCACCCTCCATTGAAAGCAGAACTATTAACCTCAAAACAGAAACTAAATACCTAGGGGTAATACTTGACAGTAAACTAAACTGGAACTCACACTTAGATAAGGTGAGGAAAAAGGCCATCATGGCAAACCAGATCTGCCGCAGGCTCCTAGGAAGGAACTGGGGTCTCAAACCACGAATGGCTCATTGGGCCTACGTAGCAATAATCAGACCCATGGTCGCCTACGCCTCATTGGTTTGGTGGCCAAAAACAAAACATAAGACAGCTCAACAACAGCTGGCACAAATCCAGCGGTTAGCATGTCTTAACATAACGGGTGCAATGAGATCCTGTCCGACGGCTGCTTTGGAAGCCCTACTCGGTCTCACACCGCTCCACATATATATACAAAAGGAGGCAGCCTTAAGTGCCTTATCACTGAAAACAGTTTCTTCACTCAAGTTGATGCAGGGTAACCTCAGAGGACACCTCGAGATCCTCAAAGACCCATGTCTAAATCACCTGATTGAAATTAAAACGGACCTTATACCGACGGAATACAATTTCAACCAACCGTATAAGGTCATATTTAGTAGCAGGGATGATTGGGCGAAAGGAGGGCCTCAACTAAAAAGAGGAGCCCTAGCCTGGTACACCGATGCTTCAAAGACAGTAAGATCTGGAGTAGGCATGGGCATCAGTGGACCAAATAGCCACATCAAATTGCCCCTCAGCTCGGACTTAACAATTTTCCAAGCAGAAGTTCTTGCTATAAACTTCTGCACCGCTTTGAACCTACAGAAGGGACAAAAAGGTGCATCCATAAACATTTTCACAGACAGTCGGGCCGCCTTAAAGGCAATTCAGGCCTACACGTGTGGCTCCGCACTGATCAGAGAGTGCACCAACAACCTGAGAGAACTCGCTAGGGGCAATGATGTTACCCTATGGTGGGTTCCAGGTCACAGCAACATTGAGGGCAATGAGAAGGCCGACAAGCTGGCCAAAGAGGCAGCAAACACGCCCTTCATTGGACCCCAACCTGGATGTGGACTACAAAAAAGCCACCTAAAACAAATAATCAACAACTGGGAGGCTTCAAAGATAGCCTTACGCTGGAAAGAACTTCCAGGTCACAGACAAGCGAAGAGTATGATAACTCCGTCGCAAAACAAAACCAAAGAGGTTTTATGCCTCAGCAAAGGGGATCTAAGAACGCTCTCAGGCTACCTAACCGGCCATGTGCCCCTAAAATACCACCTCTTCCACATTGGACAAGCTGAGGATCAAACTTGTCGACTATGCAACGACGAGTCAGAAACTGCTGAACATATACTGTGCAATTGCGTCGCCAGAGGACGTCTAAGGCACAACGTCTTCGGTAAAACTCCCCTGTTACCTACCGACATAAAGGTTCAAGACCTCAGGACAATACTAAGGTTCATTAAGGACCTACATTTGCCCTAAACCTTTGGAGGGCTAAAGTTACAATAGATCTTATAGGTCGCGGTAACGAGAGGGGCCGCCCTCCTCAGCCCGGCAGCAATAATAATAATAAAAAACCGAGAACTAGAAACATTTGGGTTTAGCCGCACGTCTCTCAAGACGGCTAAACCCGAATGATTCTAGTTCTAGATCTTGTGTTAGTTCTAGTGATAGTGCTAGTATAAAACTAGAACTAACACTAAACCGAGAACTAGAAACATTTGGGTTTAGCCGCACGTCTCTCAAGACGGCTAAACCCGAATGATTCTAGTTCTAGGTTTTGTGTTAGTTCTAGTGATAGTGTTAGTATAAAACTAGAACTAACACTAAACCGAGAACTAGAAAGATATAAACGTGACTTCGAGAAAATATAATTTTCTTTAATTATTATTCTTTTCATATATCTCTTTATAAAAATAAATCTAATTTAGTAAAGATGTTGTAATACTCGTTTAATGATTGTTGTAAATTTGATTTATAGTCATTAATTGCAACAATGTTCGGTTTCTCTTATTCTTCTTCTCTATTTCTCTTTGTCTCTCTTTATGTACGAGTTTCTCGCATGATTTACACGCATCTAGATACGCGTTTGCGATGCATAAGAAATTTATAGACGGGTCGAGGTTTTATGACCCCTTCGCATTGTGCAACTTTGACGAATCGACCGCTAAATTGTCGCTTTAATAACGACCCGTTATATTACATACTATGTCTCTCTTTCTTTCAAATGATATTTTCTATTTCTGGCAACAATCCGTTTAAACATTTTTTATTTATAACTTATTTTTCTGTTTCAGTTGTACGAGTTAAGTGATGACCCGAAAAGGAAAGAATTTTTGGATGAATTATTCGCATTCATGCACAAACGAGGTAAGTTTCTTTTTTATTTTCGTGTATTTTCTAAAATTTATTTAATTTATTAATGATATATCAATTTCTGTTTACGTTTCTAAGAAAAACGATCACCTTAATTTGTCGGATCTTTTTTCTGTGACCAAAGTCACGAAAGATGGAAATGAAAAGCTCGCCGCTTTTGGCATCTCCCTCGCAATAATTTTTCGTTTTTGCTGAGACCACGTCGGGTCTATCATTAGTATTATTACTATTATCATGAGGTTTGTGTTGTTGGTTGGCGGTGTCGGGTTCGTTTTACGCCTTAGGAACACTGTTTTAGAACGATTCTAGAATCTTTTAAAAATTTTTTTTTAGAATTTTACCTTGAAATTGTTTCAAAAAATATTTTATTTCTTTTTTTTTTGTCTTGGCAAAACATTTTTGGACAATAGAATGTAATCGTAATAAAAATCAGCTAATAAAGTTCTTAGGCATGGCTTTTTACTCAAATCTATGTAAGATTGAAGCTAGCTTGTTACTATAATGAGAACAAAACCTTTAAGTGACTGAACATAACCAATAGGATACGTTTACACGGACTTCTTTATGCACAAATTAATTAGTACCAAGACATGTTACATGCATGATTAGGCACCGTATATCATAATATATTAGAATTTGAATCACTTCCTATTATACATAATATCAATTATCTCTCTATAGAAGACCTTATTTAAACACTATTTAGCAGTTGTATGATCGTATTCAATCAGTATTTACGCAAATTTTTTAAGCAACATACAACTAATAATGTTAACTAAACATTAAACGTGAAAACAATAAATGTAATTGAATAACTCTTACAAACAAGACACTAAACTGGTCGTAAAATCACTGATATCAACCGATATACCTCAGAGATCAATTAATGAGTTTGAAAACAAAACAGTAAATAACACTAACAGAAAATATCCACAGAGAATAAAAGGTAAATGATAAAATTGAAAGTATAAGGTGAAAAGGCTGAAATATTATCATTGGGAAAAGATTCGATATTAAATAAATGAAAATTTGCAAGATATAGAAGCCAAAAAAAAAAGAGGAAGGATCAACAATTATTATTTAAATGCTTAATGGTATGCAGATTACAGAGGTAGCTTTTTAGATACTTACTTTTTAATAACATGAATACTGACATGGATTACCACCATACGATGAACTGTCAAATCTTTTATAACTGAGTGAACCAAAATCTAATTCCATCATGCAAAATTTACCTGGCAAAAATGTGGTGATACATTACTTCAAAGAAATTTACTTCTCAAAGAAATAACCCACGCGATCATCAAAGAAAAGTACTTATTACAATTTTTAATTGTGCATAACGTAAACGTTAATAAATAATTAAATTTTAGCAACAAAATACAAAAAGATATTGATGAACGTCTTCAGAAGATTAATATCGATGTCTAGTTTGAGCCCATTGCAAGACCAATTATAAAAAACTACCACATTTATATGGATAACACTTCTTTTAAGGATCTTTCTCCATTTGTCATAAACCTCGACGATTCTGATTCAGAAGGTGATGAACATTAATTCAGCGATGAAGACGATGCATAATAAATGTTTTATATACTATTACTGTTACTAACTGTAAGAGTACAAAAAAATTTATTTTTACATATAGAAGAAAAAGTGCAAGTATGCAACATAATATATGCATTGTATAATATACAGGATGTTTCTGTAAGTCGTGGCATAATTTTAATCCCAAATACTAGAGTAAAAATGATTCGTGTAAAAATATGGACCTTCAAAGTTAATACATTTTTAAACATTTTCTGAAATATTTTCAATATGGTTTGTCTTAGAAAGATTAAATTTGGTAAACAGTGCAATGTTATCATAAGAAATCGATTAAGAGAGAACACTATGCAGAGTGTTCACAAAGGTTATTTCCTTAAAACATTTTTAAAACAACCCAACCCAACTGATTCTGAAAGCCTATTTCATTTTAAAATTATTTTCAACCTTAGAAATTTTTGATTAGACGCATCGTTTTGGAGTTATTCGCAAGAAGATGCAACCTCGATTTTGAAATGTTGAAAACAAATTGTAGATAATTGTTGATAATAAATTGTTGATAGCATTGATCCTGTAGTTGCATATTTTCAAAGATGATCTTAAACGATTTCTTATGATAACGTTGCACTGATTGCCAAATTTAGTCTTTCTAAGACAAACCATATTGAAAATACTTAAGTAAATGTAACTTTCATTGTAAAAACTTTCAAGGCATTTTGGCAGAAAAAAGAAGACAATTTGAACAAATTCTAACACGAATCATCATTATTTTTAATCTATATTCGTGATTAAAATTATGCCACAACTTACACAAACACCCTGTATAGATATAACGATGATCCCAATTTGCAGAAATTGTAGTAAAATTTGTTTAATTACGAATTCTTCTCTAGAGGTAGTTGTTTAGACTAAGAATTTGCTGGAAAAATCTACAGAGGCTCAACAAATCAGAATGGATATGGTTCAACCATGTCAAGATCATCATTATCTAGCTACGAAATCATGAAGTTATACTTCGGGAAACAAAAATGTTTAGAAACTCACAATTTTTTAATAATTATTGGTCTCAAAAAGCGTAGTCTTAATCATAATAATTTTCAAATCGTATCTGTCTGGTTTGGATCTTTAATATTTTGGCTACAGAAACCAAATAGTTGTTTGTCAATGGTGCAAATTTGAGGGGGTTCCATGTGTTTTTAGTAAGAGGATCCTAAGATTAGTTTGACTGCTAACTGTTCTAGCTCATTTAGCGTTACCCAGAGTGCACGTGCAGCATTTTGCCACGGACTAGCTTACTAGCCACGCTAAACTATGGTGCTTCGCCAAATCTGCAAAGAGAGAAAACCCTTCCAAACAAGTTCATTGACAACTAAATGCTGCCGATTCATGAGAACCATATATAATTTGATATGAATCGCATTAGATCCTTACACTCTACATTAAATCTTGCTGAGAAACTGGCTAAAAATAACTATAACATCAACTCTGAGTGAGAAAAAGATTGCAACGTCAAAGCACTACCAGGAATAAATCAACAAATCCTCTCCAACCAAAAACCAGAAAGATTTGGACTTCCCCGTCGCTTATGGAGACACCTCAACAGAGTACCTACGAAACGTGAAGTCTGTGGTGTCCAAAGCAATCTATCTCTAACCCTATTAGATCTTATCCTCGTTGTGATGTATTGTGTGTCTAATAACTAATCTAATAATTCTAGTAATTGGTCTGGTCTTGTTCAGTCTTATTATGGCGTAAATACACATTATTAGGGAGAAATCGATTAAATCTTTTAATCAAAGCTTTTTTATAATCTCTGTAGGCATTGTTTAAACACGATGATCATACGTGTTCATATTTTATAAACTTCATCAATTTCTTCGTTTGTTCTAAACATTACTTTGTAATCATAGCATCATCAATCAGCAGGTTCCAACAACTATCAGGCGTTTTTATATTTTTAAGTACTTCTTTTAAACGAAGTAAATGCTGCTAAAAATTTATTTCGGATACCTATGGATTGATATGATTGACCAAATATAAGAGTGTTCTTATTTTTTCTTGAATCAAGTTTTTATTTCTTAGACGCTTTGTGCTGCTTCTGTTTTTTTTGTTAGGCAAGGTCTATAATGTTTATTAAAACTAACAGAAAACATTACCATTGCACATCTGTCCCTACCAGCTCAATTTATTGAAGGAAATATCCGTAAAAAATCCAACCTAACTCAACTCAGTATACTATTTATTAAATTGAAGCGTGTTGTATTAAAACATATGAAATAATCTTATGAGTGAATCATTTTAACTTACTCTGATTGATTTATTTAAGAAATTCTGAAAAAAATTAATCACAAGCCACAATTGCTATATAATAACCTCACCAAGCTATACAATTATCCTTATTAACTAGGTTAAAGATAATAACAGTTACCCGAAACACTTATTCGTCTTGATTATGAAAAGGATGAGTTAAAAAGATCTAAAATTAGAGAAATTGAATTCTTGAAATACAAATTTTTTGTGTAGTAGTAATTTTGAATATTATTATTTTATGTATGAAGTGTTATTAACAAATTTATACAAAACATTTTTAGTATTTTTGAAAAATTTTTAAATAGAAATTTTTTAGCTGTTATCGGGAATTGCTCATCAGTTTTTAATGGTTTTCTTCTAATGCATGCATACATTTACATTACCATTATGACTAATCAACTAAGTAATCTAAATAACCTTGAAGTGTTAACTTATAAATATCAACTTCATTTCGTTTAAATTTAAAAAAAAAATTACAATCACGATACGAATTTTTGATGAAGATGAATTAAACGGTAGCCGGGGAATATATTGAAAAGAAAAAACGAAACTTGACGGGTTTTATAATACTTTAATAGCTTAATAGCGGTTCGTATTTGATACCGTTTATTATTGTATCAAAATTGGGGCAATTTTCATTTTAAAGTTCTCTACCTGGGTAGGGATACAAAATACAAACCCCGGCTACCGTTTCATTTTTTATTAAATACTAAGATTTTTTTCGAAAGATGATTTATGTATTTTGCTGAATTTATTCATAAATTTAAAATAATTTTAAAATTGAAATTAAAACGTACCTACATATTTATGAAAATTAATTTTAATGATTAAACGATAATTTTAATTCGTCCAGGTCCCCAGACGTTATATTTATAGCAATCTCCAACCCATTCTAATTATATTAGAGAAGCATAATGCGACCCACTATATTTCTCTCAACTCTCATACAAAACCTAAACGTATAAATACAGAGACCGAGAGAGTTTAAATTTATTTTAAAAACTCCTAATGATCCTCTTCATAACTTGGCAACACAATTCATTATTTTAAATCGCAACTTTCTCTCTTCTCGATGTTGATTAAAATTAATTGTATTAAAAAGATTAATTAAATTGTTTTTCAAAATTTTTTTTCTTGGT